AAATTACACAAGAAGACATAAATTTATTACTCACAAAAACACCTGCTGCTAGGTCTTCTCAAGAAGCCGTAATGACCAGCCAATGTTCGTAAATGAATATGAGTTTAAAGAAGGATGACAGTCGTCTTCGCTAAAAACATGTTTTCTGGATTTCGCCGAGCAAAACGTAAACATCTTTTCAGCAAATCCAAACCATACTCCACGACTTCTTACGAACATGTTAGTATTTTAACTTTAGGTGAACTTTAAGACTCTTTTACCTTTGTTTCTGCTTAGTTTCCATTGGTCGTTAACGAATAAAGAGGCAAATATTCTTTCTCAGTTTTACAGAAAGAATATTTTCATTCAAACTAGACGATTGTGGCGTGTTCGTAATCAGCCAATAGAACCATTTGTTATTGTGTAGCGCGTTACGAGAATTTTGCAGTTCATCAAAAAGCAAGCATTTTTGTCAGCTATGTTATAAAAAAATTTGCTCATGCTTTTAGCTGTGCGTATATCGAGTTATGGATGCACTTGGGAAGTTTGGAGAGCACTCAAGAAGCTAGAGTTACACTCGGCTATCGCCTCGTGCAACTCTTACGTATCTTTCGTGCTCTCCACACTTCCCAAGTGCATCCATAACTCGATATACGCACGCTAAGCATGAACAAATTCTTAATTTTGTTTAAGATAAAGGTACGTGTATGCTTCTCTACAGTCAATGGTCTCATTGTCTTGTAAACTGTTAGTCGGGTACCAAACATTCACACTCCGATCTACAGGCAAGTCTCCTTCACATCAAGCACATTCGACTGTTGAGCTGACTCCTTCAGGCTCTTGGGAGTCAAGTGAATTAGGTGAGAGCAACATTGCACGTGAACTTTGACTGAGGCCAAGACTTTTTCCTGGTATGAAAACAAGGTGTAGGCTGGCCTGCCGACCATGTGATTCTACATCCAGGAAGTTGAATAAGACAAGTTTAATTTAAGAGAAAAGTTCAGGGGTGTTTATCTGCCAATAGGCTGAGTTTTTACGGGTTATTTGATGATATTTCGCTTAAGTTAAACGTCAGAATTTTATGTGAGATTGTTGAGTCTTATCAGTGCCATGAAAGTGTGTGATTGTGTGATTTCCGCATTGTGTTGACACGTAGGTGGTCACGTGGTTGAGCTATTTCACCAAAATATTCTGTGCCAGCCATAAAAGCGTTTCTTCGGTGTTTAGGTTTAATGATTGTACCTTGGAAAAGCAACTCTCGACTCAGGAAAACTAGATCTCGGTCTAGTTTCAGCAGGCTCTCATGGCGTTGAACCAAAAGGCCAGTTTTCACAGATAAGAAGGTGATAATTTGTGTACTATGTTTCATATTCCAGTTTGGTCTATTCCATGTAAAACCCTGTCGTTTATTGCACCGCAAAAAAAGTAGTGTTTTGATAACTATTTAAGTTGTTATGTAAGCTTTAACCAAACACCCTTTCTCTGCTCCCTGGTTACTCAACCGTAAAATTTCTAGACTGAAGTGACACCAGTTTGAAACTTCACGGAGTCGGTTTACTGAATAAGTGTTCTAAAATTTGTGTCATTTTAAATTTGGACTCACTGAAATGCTTCTAGTAACCACTAGTAACCACTAACTTATTGCCTGGTGTCAGATAAATTGAATGATGCTTTATTGTTTTAAATTGCCAAGCAGTACAATGAATTGATTTTTTTTCTTACCCGGTTCTCAAAAATCCAGGTATACATATACATATATATATACAGCACCACAAGTGAAGAGTAAAACAATATGTTTTTCGTCTCACCTATATTTCGACCGTGTTAAACAGCCTTCATCAGGGTGAATGGCCGTTACAAGCATTACACACCATTATTACACGATAACGAACAAATTGGAAAATTTACACGCGCTACAAAGGAAGATAAACACGCGCGCGCAAATTATTCGTGGGGCCTGCACAAAAATGATTACAGAATGATATAAAAAAGTAGTTCACCTTTCTTAAAGAACTCTTGAACTTGGATTCTGTAAATTATCAGCCTTTGTACCCACCTAACAACACATTAAATTTTGCGATCAATAAATCACAAGCCATCCAACTCCACAAGTATATTGCTAACTGTACATGTATACTCAAACAGTATTGTTGTAGTTTTGAAGAAGTGATTTCACAGATAGAACACAATCCAGTGGCACTACTGGGTTGGTAGCATTTGCAAAGATTAAATGGAAAAGAATTAAGCCTCACTAAATGTGACAGCTACAGATCAGTGACCACCACTGGTTTTGCAATGAGCATATTTCTCTTGAGTGCAGATGCTATGAAAGTTAAAACAAAATCTATCAAAATTCATTGATTTCTATTTATTTTACCCAGTGTAGTATTTGTGAATATTTAGGTCTACCGTCCCAACCCCCCATGTTTGTGTAATAGAGCATGCACTCTGACTGTTATGATGATTGAATACACATGTTTGCACGAGCAGCAATGGTGTGTGTGTTGGTGGTTAAATCTGATTCAATCCTTGGTTAAATCCATAAGACACTACATTTTGGCGACGAGGACGGTCATTTGAAGGTTATACGGGATGGCAAGTGTATATTTAAGCAATACACACGGATTAAAGCCGTTTGTCTGTCCAGAAACTGCTGGTATTTCCGCACGCTGGGAAAGATGGCTTCGAGCTTTTGAATTGTTTGCGACAGGAAAAGGAGTAAAAAATGTCGATCAGAAGAAGGCTTTATTGCTGCACACTCGGCCGCATTAAATGGGCAAGACATTTATTTCACGTTGACCAAAGAAGGAGGATCAGATAGCTATCAGAAAGCAAAGGCGACCTTGAAGAAATATTTCAAACCGCAAGCGAATGTTTCGTGTGAAAGGCTTTGTTTTTGTGAAGCAAGTCAACTGGCAAACGAAAGCGACCAACAGTTTGTTACTAGATTGAAACAAACAGCCCAAACCTGCGAATTCGGAGATGCTGCAACTGTGGATGAGCAAATTCGTGATCAAGGGATAAGCAAATGCTTGTTGCACCAACCCCGTCGGAAGTTACTTCAGAAGGGTCGAAACTTGACACTGCCACAAGTAAGAGAAACTGCTCGTTCTATGGAGGAATCTGAAAAACAGGCCTGTTCAATCGAAGGAGGAAGTGGTGAGGTCCGTAATGAAGTGAATAGTGTGAGTGGAAAGACGAATTACAGAGGGGATGCGAGCGCAAGAAAAGTCAAACGTATTTGTTGTGCATACACGGGACATAAAGCCAAAGATCGTCGATGTCCAGCGACAAGGAAACAGTGCAGGAAGTGTAATGGATCAGGACATTTTGAGGCTGTGTGTAAAACTAAGGAGAAGCAAACCAGTGGTAGAGGAGCTGGAGCGCCGCATAAACCAGACGTCGGAAAGAAGAGAGGTGCAGCTTATCATGTAACGCAGGTAGAAACTGAAGGTACTCGGGGTGATGATTGTGAATATGCTTTTGGCATTTTAGATGATTCTAATGTTTCAAGTGATGGGAAAATTCCTGTGAAGATAGGAGGTTTACCAGTAACAATGATTATTGATTCTGGTGCTAGTTGCAATGCCATAGGTCGTAAAGTATGGGAATATCTGAAAGCAAATAAGGGTGCATGTGTCTCGACTAAGGCTTCAAAGAAGTTGTATGCATATGGTAGTAATCAGCCACTACAAGTTACAGGCATGTTTACTGCAGAAGTGGCTGTTGGAGAGAGTATATTAAGTGGGGTCGAATTTGTTGTCATTGAAAATGACGGACACGCCTTCCTTGGGCGGGAAACTGCCATTTCTCTGGGAGTTTTGAAGCTGGGAGCTAACGTGAATTCACTAGAGGTTTCTACGAATGGAGCAAAAGGGGAGGCCAGTATTTTTGAAAAGTTCCCGGGATTGGCAAACTGAAAGATTTCCAGCTAAAAGTCCCGATTGACCAAGAGGTACCACCTGTAGCACAAACAATTAGGTAGGTCCCTTACCATTTGCGTGATAAACTGACTACCAAACTGGATGAACTTGTGGAACTAGACATCATTGAAAAAGTGAGTGGACCAAGCTCGTGAGTCTCACCAGTGGTAGGGGTGCCCAAGCCCTCAGGTGATATTCGCTTGTGTGTGGATATGTGACAAGCCAACATGGCAGTAAAACGAGAGCGTTACCCAACTATCCACCATTGACAAAGTTTTACAAGATTTGAACCAGAGCAAGTTCTTTAGCAAGTTGGATCTTACCTCTGCCTATCTCAGATAGAACTGTCACCCGAATCAAGGGATATCACTACTTTGGCACACACAAGGGACTCTACCGGTACAAACAACTCATGTTCGGTATAAGTTGTGCACCTGAGATGTACCAGAAGGTACTTCACCAAGTCCTGGAAGAGTATGATGGAGCTCATAATATTCTTGATGATGTGATAGTAAATGCACCCACTGAGGAGGAACATGACAAAAGATTTGAGAATGTTGTCCGAGTAGTGAACAGCAGGGGGTTGACACTGAGTCAGTGTCAGGTTAAGATGTCACATTTGGAGTTCATGGGTCATGTTTTGTCGGCACGTGAAATTGGTCCAGCAGATGTTAAAGTAAAGGCTGTTGTTGATGCCCGTGAACCAATGAATGCTGCGGAAGTACGAGGCTTCCTTGGTCTGGTCAATTTCACTGCACGGTTTATTCCAGACCTAGCAGCAGTATCTGCACCCCTCCGCCTTCTTACAAAGAGTGGAGAATCATTTGTGTAGGGGCCGGAGCAACAGCAATCATTTGATGGGTTAAAGAAGCAACTGTCCAGTGCAGAGACACTTGGATACTTTGATAAGAATGCACAAACTAAGGTGATCGCAGACGCAAGCCCTATAGGCTTAGGAGCCATGCTAGTTCAAGAGCAAAGAAAAGAACTACGAGTTATTAGTTATGCAAGCCGCAGCCTGTCTGAGAACGCAGATATTCTCAGACTGAGAAAGAGGCCTTAGCCATTGTGTGGGCCTGCGAAAGGGTTCATGCCTATTTCTATGGTGCTGAGTTTGATCTAATGACTGACCACAAGCCTCTAGAGTGCATTTTCTCACCTAAGTCCAAGACCTGCGCTAGGATCAAAAGATGGCTTCTCAGAATGCAACCCTACAGATTTACAGTGAAATATATTCTAGGTCCTAAGAATATTGCTGATTCCTTGTCACGTCCCCTGTGTGCAATGCCACCGTCAGACCAAAGACCAAACCAAAGAATATATCAAGTGGGTTGCCCAAGAATTGACACCAATTGCCCTGACAACTCGTGAAATAGAGAGAGTATCAGAACATGATCATGAGCTGAAAAGTGCACGAGAATGTCTCTTGAATGGGAAATGGCATGCCTTAGCATTCGAATTGTGATACCAAAGCAACTTCGTTGTCAAGTACTAGAGTTGGCACACGAAGGTCACCCAGGAATCATAGCCATGAAGCAACGTTTGCGTACCAAAGTGTGGTGGCCAGGCATCGACAAAGAGGTGGAGAAAGAAAAGAAAAGGGAAAGGTGTATGCAGACTGCCAAAGGAATGCACGTGAAAGCGAGATTCAAGAAGGTGATAAGGTGTTACTGAGGCAGGAGAAAGAGAAAAAACTGTCAACGCCACACAAACAGTCTCCCTTTACAGTTAATCAAAAGAATGGCAATGGTGTTCTTGTTGAGGCTGATGGTGTGCAGTACCGCCAGAATGTAACCCATGTGAAGAAGTATTTCGAGCGAGATTATGATGTATTACCAGCCACTAGTAAGTCAACAGATGATTCAGAGGCTCAGAGAGCAACACAAAGTTTATCAAACCAAGAGCCCAGAGAACCTGTAAATGTTTCCTCTGAGAGAGCAAGTGAGGACGGCCCATTGGAGTACACACGATCACATGATGCTACTATGGAGCAAAGAAATTCTGTCACCTTACGTCCAGCAAGTGTCAAAAGATTGCCATCTAAATTTTAAGACTATGTTTAAGGCTTTATTCAGCTTGATTCAGAGTAGAACTTTGAGACTTTGAGAACGTGAACTCTGAACTGAACTTGAACCGTTGTTATGTTTTATTATGTTTCCACTTAAGCCACTTCGAAGTGTTCAGTCGTATAAGGATTTCTGTAGGGCACTCAGAGACATTTATATACATTGTTAGCTGGCTTTATTTTCTTTTCGTTTTCTTTTAACCCAACAAGAGATTCGAAGGAGGGAGGAATGTAGTATATGTGAATATTTAGGTCTACCGTCCCATCCTCCCATGTTTGTAAAATCGAGCATACGCTCTGACTGTTATGACAATTGAATACACATGTTTGCACGAGCAGCAATGGTTTGTGTGTTGGTGGTTAAATCCGATTCAATCCTTGGTTAAATCCGTAAGACACTACACCCAGAAACTTGAGAAAAGACTAAAAGTGATCACAGAAGATTCAGCCTTGATTTCGTCCGATGAGTCAGATGAGGAGGGTGATGTACTCAGAACAAGGCCCCTAGAGGGGAGATCAGAGGAAGTTTCCATTTTTTTTTTCAAAATTTGGACTCTCGCTATAGAGAAAGTATGTCCAACCAGCAAAGAAGGCAATGGGTTAACA